CTTTGAAGGAACACAGCTATTAAGGTTTAATTTTGTTTTCATTATCAGTCATTCCAGGTAAGGTAGTCTTCTGCTTATTTGGGGCTGGGCTAGAATAAGCTTACTTAAAATAGTGATCTGTCTTACAAGTGATGTCATAGACACCACAGATGGCAGGCAAAGGACATACAGTGATATAATGTAAAAATATAAATTAGATGGTAATGAAATACCATGTTTACTGTGACCAGTAATTTAGTATCAGCAAAGCTTAACCATCATGATGTTTTAGTTGCATTAAGTTTTCTTTACATTAAAAATAAGCAGGAGTTTCATGATTCTTCAAAATATAAATTGAAAAATAAGACAAATGGAATATATATATATATATAATTTATAAGAAATGATCCAAACCACCACACAGTTTTTGTTTATTAGGAGTCCTGTTTGAAAAATGCTACCTTTCCTTGAAGGATTCATCACTGATTAGATTTCAGATATTCCTATTGGATGCTAATTTAGGGTGAGGAAAATTTTACCTTCTGTAGTTCTCAAGTCAGTTTTGTCTCCTTCTGATTGGTAGATTGGAGCTTTCTGCTTTTCTGGAAGCATTAAACTTTCAGGCTTTCATTTACTGAAACATATAATCTTATTGTATAACAAGCATTTGATTTCCTTTGTTTCAGGTGCTCAGGTAACTACTGCAGGACATAGAGATGGTCAGACATGGAGCTTGCTCGGAGTGCATTGGAAAGTAGAAACTGGACCACGGCAATTGGGCATCTTCAAAGACATTTCTCTATTTCCTCTATTCTTCATCAGCTATGGAGAACTCATTTATTCTCAGTCCACAGCTGAAAGATGATCTGGATCATTGTCCATTCATCATTCATTCAAGAAACATTTCGAGAGTATCCACACTATGCCAAAGACAGAACTAAACACAAAGAGCTAAAGGAGGCCAAAGCATAACCTGAGGAAGCAAACAATGGGTTAGAAAAATAAGGGGACCCAGAAATGGCTTCAAAATGAGAACTGATAAAGATATCTATGAGTGACACAGGTACAGTAGTAACAGCAAAAGAGAGACTGTCTATCCATTTGCCCACCATAAAGGAGAAGAGAGGAAAGAGAGTTGAAAGAAGAAAATAGCTTCAGCTAGATAGACACGAGAAATAACAATGGAAATAGAATATCGCCATATCAGCAAAGCAAGGCATTGTATTGGTTACTGCTACACCCTTGTAACAAATACGTGACAAAAACAGGTGAAAGGAGAAAGATTAACATGGCTCAAGGTTTTCAGTTCATCACACAGATGGGGTGCACCCTTATCTGTAATAGTCAGAGTGACATGGACCTAAGCATATCCCAACAGCCCAGAAAACCAAAAGTTATTAGCTTTCAAAGGCCTCCCCAGCACCTACCTCTACCTACTGGGCACCACCTTCCAAAAGCCTCATGGTCTCCCAAGCAGTGCCACTACATGGGAAACAAGCACTCAAAACATGAGTCTATGGGGAAAAGTAGACTTTTAAACCACAACAGGCATGAACAGAAAAAAAGGCAGGATAATTCAAAATAATTTATTACGGCAGGTGTTGAGAGCAAAAAGCAGAGGCCGCAGATGAAATAAGAGAGTTAGGCAACAGTCAATGATAGCTGGCCAGAATGACTTGGCAAGAAATGTAGACATTATAATTTAGAATTGAAGAGTGGCTGAGCTGAGAGAATTAGACAAATGGTCAGATTTATGTTGAAGGACAACTGCTTTGACTCACATGGGCTTCTTCTAATCCTTCCAAACCCTTGCTCTCCCCCTTGTCTTCTCCTTGTTCATTGGAAAGCTCCTCTGCAGGGGTGGGAGGAAGCATAAAATTTAAACTTAAAAGAAAATTTAAATATCTTGTTGAGGACAAAAGACTTACCTTGATTGACACACACAGTTCCAATAATTAAAATTCATGCCCCTCATCTCAGACCTCATCAGAAGTTTTGGTGTTTGGGTGTGCAGCAGACAGCAGTTTATGAAGAAATAGACAATTGGTCAAAATTCAAAGCGTAAATGAAGCGACCTACATACTTTGGGGTACCCCCCTCTGGACCCTAAATTAGGCACAGACCACACCCAAACATCTATTTCCAAACACAAGCCAAATGCAAATAGGTCCTTTATTAAGCAAAGCAAAAGGACAAGGTGGCTGAAACAGCAGCAGATAGCTTTGCAAGTGCTAATTAATGTTAAGAGGGAAAAGCATGGTCTGTGTTAAAATGAGCTAGGGCATGTTGGTAAGTTCTGATTGGTATTTTAATTAGATTAGTCAAAAATATGTTTTTATTGCTGAAACTTGATGTTTTGATAGTTGGACCTTGGTAATTGGTCCCAGGAATGAGTGTGTGGCCAAATAAGGGAATAGACCTTGGTGGCTAGTTTTAGGAATATAGTCTAACAATTTGGCAAGGGGGAGAAAGACAAAAGGCCAAACCTACTGGTGCCATGTTTGCCATGCTTGCCATGCTTGCCATGCTTGCCATGCTTGCGTGTGCTAAAGCCCTTCAGTAAGTATTTATGGAGTGCTCAGTCACAAATGAGATATCTACATCACCCTCTTTCCTAGGTCCAGTTTACATTATCTGAACAAAACCAGCAGAAGATCAAGCCAGTCAACATTCCAGCATGGAGGGAGGATGGACTCATGAGTCACTCGACCCTAGCTAAAGAGCTATTGACAGGTGATAGTTTCTGGGAAAAAGAAAGTGTGTTTTCCTTAATGAAAAGTCACTGACAGGTTGCCCACTCTTCAGTGGATGGCTCACATTCATGAATACGTGGTCATCAGAAATTGGAATCAATGAGCTATAAAAACAAAGAAAATGGTTCAGCCCATAAAGTGCCTACTGTACAAGAATAAGGACCCTAGTTTAGATTCACCAAAAAAATTCTAGGCACATCAGCACTCACCTGCCCCACAATCTCAGTGCTAGGAAGATAGAGACAAAATGGCTTCTGTGGTTTGTTTGCTGGCTAGTCAGTCTAGTAGAGTCAATGAGGTCTGGGTTCAGTGAGAGACCTTGACTCTGGCCTGCACACACACACACACCAGTGCTAACCAAAAAAAAAAAAAAAAGCTTGCACAGCTTTAAAACCTGATATCCCAAAGAAAGCATTCAGTAGCACAGAACATCAAAGAAATATGGGCTCTGGAGAGAGAAAGAAATCTATCAATTCTTGATCATGCACCTGTGACTCTCAAAGGTTTCAGAGCTAAATCTACACACACACACACACACACAAGAACTAGATTACATTGGCTTTTCAGCCAGTGATATGGAATCAAAGGCTGGATGAACAGAATAAGGAAAGATTAATGGTAAAGTCATGCTTCATCACTAGAAACGGACACTTTGGCAAAGCAGACTATTTGCTTTAAGTTACACTCTTCATGCATGTTTTGTTTGTTACTCATTCACATATATTCCTTTGTTTAAAATTAGGTACAAATAGGAAGGTGAGCAATTAGAAAGGAAAAAATCAAGTCAATGGACAGTGTGATCATATTTAAACAATTCAAATCCACTTGTTTAATCCTCTCATCTTAAATTATTCACAGGGGCATTTTGATTCTCAAAAGTTCATAAACAGAGTGCAAATCACCCAAGCAGAAGTAATTTACTGCTCTTAAGCCAAAGCCCTGCCTAGCTAGGGAGTCGCCTGTAGGAATTAACCAGAACAAAATCCTGATTAAACAACTAATTGGCTTGTCTACCAAAGGAAAGAAAAACAAAGTACATCTCTCCACTTCAAGATACAGGGTCATCAAATCAGAGGTCTTTCAGAACTGCCTCAGAGAAGATGTTTAAATCACTGATGATAAAATTCAATAAAGTGAAGCCAATGGAAGGGAGGACCGAAAAGGAATCCTACCCTCACCTGCATGGTCAGTCTCAGCCACCCACAGCACAGGTATGTCCTTTATGTTCCTAAGTCAGTCTTGAGTCTCATCCTTTGTCTACCAGTGGATGTTAATAAATGCTGCCATGTGGAAGACTGCTCAGCAGTTTTACATGGTAACATTGAGATTGAGTACTATTTAAGCCACATTCTTATTAATTTATATATTCTGTAAATGCAAGTTTAAAGAGAGGATAAAAGTGTTTAGGAGAGATATTTGAACTTGGAAGACTTGGAAAACAGGTACTAATTGTTTTCTCACAGTTTACACAGAAATAGCTAATAGATTTTTCTCTTAAAGAGTGTGAGAGTTTTCAGCAGTAACTATGCATTGGGCACTGTGTTGAACCCTCTCCAAGCACTGGCATGTGTGAGACAGAATCCTGTTATAAAACTGCTAACACACAGCTAGAACATGGCTGAGGCTGTCCTAGCCCACTCCACGACCATTACTGCAGAGACTTCATCAATAGCCAGACTACATGGTGACAGAGGAGAGGGGGCTATGAATCAGCCTTTCCAGATGAGCTGCCCAGGAGTTACAGGACACTTAGAGAGAAAGCAAGAAGAACAGGTGCTTTTCAAGAGTCATCTTACCCTGAAGCAGCAATGCTGGAGGAAAGCTTAGCTCATGCCCAGGAAGAGCTGCTCTGGGTATAACCAGCGCCATGTGGCAACTGTGATACTGGGGTGTTAATCTTGAGGCCTGCTTGCATCAAAGACTCTTAACAGCCATGTCTGGGATTGCTTGATGTCTATCCATTCTAAGTACATGTGGGAAATAGGCAATTTTTTTAAGTTTTCTATTAAAATACGCTAAATGTAACAATCTCAAAATGTCAAAATGATGTTTTCTCCCATAAAATACACCATTTTTCAGTGGCATAAAAATACTATGAGTCGTATAAGGAAATATCTAGAAGTAAAAACAAGTCAAAATTGTATTGTTCTTTGTAAAGTATCCTTTAAAAGTTCAATCATTCAAAAAGTTCCTGCATAATTCCTGCTTACCAACAAATAAAATCTCCAGAAATACAAAGTCAGCCTAATACAAACATGCTCTTTTACTTCTGAATATGATGTTGCTCATATAAGTCTATATTTATGCAACATATAAAGACTATAATGGAAATATTTACAAATAACATCAAAATATGATGAAAAAGAAGTTGAGCAGTATCAGATGTTATTGCTAGCTATAGATCATCTCAACCCTACCTATGTGCATATAATTAGCTATTCAAGCAGTTTCATATTTGATAGGAAATGACAGCAGCCTTGCCTAATACATATGGTTATTGTGAGACTTAAATGAAGTTACCTGATAGCCTTCAGTACTCATAAATAATGTCAAAGATCCATATTACAGCACACAAGACACTCAAAGTCCCTGTCCCTGGCTACTTCCTCCAATCTTCTCACATTCTTCTCCATATAAATGGTTCTACTTTCGTCTTTCAACCCCACACAACCACATCGTGGGCCATTGTTCTGTCTCCATCATCTACCTGCCTTTGAAAACTCAAGATCCACTTCCCTGTTTCCTTTGCCCCTTTCCCTTCGTTTCTACTGTAGAACAATGTACTTTCAAGCACCAATTCTATTCTCTACAGATATTTTCTACAAATCCTTTATACATATCTACCTACATATCCTTTTTTATGGAAGGAGGACTAGAGGTGGGTATTTGGGTGTATGTGTATGACCATATGTGTGTGTGCATGGAAACCAAAAGTCAACCTCAGTCAGGTGTCAATCTTCAGGAGCTTGTCTACCACATACTGAGGCATGAGGCTCACCATTTCAGCTCGTGCTGGAGCTCCAGGAATCTGTTGGGATGCAGCCCCAGCATTAGGATTACATGTTCCCACCACCACATCTGGCTTTTTACGTCAGGTCCACATGTTTGGGTACCAATCACTTCACCAATCTACTTTTTTTATACTCACCGTTTTGTTGTTTGTTCTCTCTACTAGGGTTTGGAAGCCAACATTTCTGCATTATAACCTTTTTTTAAGTTGTTCAGTTTTTATTTTATAATTAATTTAATTTTACATATCAACCTCAGATTTCCCTGTTCTCCCTCCTCCCACCCCCAGCCTTCCCCCTCAATCCACCCTGCATTCCCACCGCCTCCAAGGCCAGGTCTCCCCTGGGGAGTCAGCCCAGCCTGATAGATTCAGTTGAGGCAAGTCCAGTCCTCTCCTCCCTGCACCAAGGCTGAGCAAAGTGTCTCAGCATAGGCCCTAGGTTCCAAACAGCCAGCTCATGCACCAAGGACAGGTCCCGGTCCCACTGCCTGGGGGCCTCCTAAACAGTTCAAGCTAATCAACTGTCTCACTTATCCAGAGGGCCTGCTCCAATTCCATGTGGGCTCCTCAGCTATTGGTTCACAGTTCATGTGTTTCCACTAGTTTGGCTATTCGTCCCTGTGCTTTTTCCAATCATGGACTCAATATCTCTTGCTCATATAATCCCTCCTCTCTCTCACCGATTGGACTCCTGGAGCTCCACCTGGGGCTTGGTCGTGAGTCTCTGCATCTGCTTCCATCAGTCACTGGATTAGAGTTCTATCATGACAGTTACGGTGTTCGGCCATCCCATCACCAGAGTAGGTCAGCTCAGGCACTCTCTCGACCATTGCCAGTAGTCTATAGTGGAGGTATCTTTGTGGATTTCTAAGGACCTCTCTAGCACTCTGATTCTTCCTATTCCCATGGTGTCTTCATTTATCATGGTATCTCTTTCCTTGTTCTTCCACTCTGTTCCTGATCCAGCTGGGACCTCCCGTTCCCTTAAGTTCTCTTTCCCCTGACCCTTGCCCTCTGTTACCCCCCTCACCCCCAGTTTGCTCATGTAGATCTCATCCATTTCTCTGTCATTGGGCCATCTCTGTGTCTTTCTTAGGGTCCTCTTTACTAGGTAGCCTCCTTGGAGTTATGAGTTGCAGTCTCGTTATCCTTTGCTTTACATCTAGTATCCACTTATAAGTGAGTACATACCATGTTTGTCTTTCTGAGTCTAGGTTATCTCACTCAGGATGATATTTTCTAGTTCCATCCATTTGTCTGCAAACCTCATGTTGTCATTGTTTTTCTCTGCTGAGTAGTACTCCATTGTGTATATGTACCACATTTTATTTATCCATTGTTCAGTTGAAGGGCATCTAGGTTGTTTCCAGGTTCTGGCTATTACAAATAATGCTGATATGAATATAGTTGAGCATGTGTCCTTGTGGTATGATTGAGCATTCCTTGGGTATATGCCCAAGAGTGATATAGTTGGGTCTTGAGGGAGGTTGATTCCCAATTTTCTAAGAAAGCACCATACTGATTTCCAAAGTGGCTGTACAAGCTTGCATTCCCACCAACAGTGGAGGAGAGTTCCCCTTGCTTCATATCCTCTCCAACATAAGCTATCTTCAGTGTTTTTTTATCTTAGCCATTCTGAGGGGTGTAAGATGGTATCTCAGAGTTGTTTTGATTTGCATTTCCCTGATGATTAAGGATGATGAGCAATTCCTTAAATGTCTTTCAGCCATTTGAGATTCTTCTGTTGAGAATTCTCTATTTAGCTCTATAGCCCATTTCTTAATTTTACTGTTGGGTATTTTGATATCTAATTTCTTGAATTCTTTATATGTTCTGGATATCAGCCCTCTCTGTCAGATGTGGGGTTGGTGAAGACCTTTTCCCATTCTGTAGGCTGTCGTTTTGTCTTGTTGACTATGTCCTTTGCCCTACAAAAGCTTCCCAGTTTCAAGAGGTCCCATTTATTAATTGTTTCTCTCAGTGTCTGTGCTACTGGTATTTTATTTAGGAAGTGATCTCTGGTGTCAATGTGTTCAAGACTACTTCCTACTTCCTCTTCTAACAGGTTCAGAGTAACTGGATTTATGTTGAGGTCTTTGATCTACTTGGACTTAAGTTTTGTGCACGGTGACAGATATGGATCTATTTGCAATCTTCTACATGTTAACATCCAGTTATGCCAGCACCATTTGTTGAAGATGCTTTCTTTTTTTCCCTTGTATAGTTTTGGTTTCTTTATCAAAAATTGTATGTTCATAGATGTGCGGATTAATGTCAGGTTCCTCAGTTCTGTTCCATTGGTCCACATGTTGGTTTTTATGCCAGTACCAAACTGTTTTGTGTCAGTGCATCCCTATAGGAGCATCTCAGGTATCCCCTGGCCATATACACTGTGGTATAACTCCATTTCAAATGAAAGGTTGGGCAAATGTTTATGTACAGAAAGAAGCAAAACCATGAGGAGAACAAAGTAATGATGGGATGAAATGGCCAACTCCTCATAATGTTTTAAATTCGGCCACTAAAAGGCCTGATGGGCCAACACTAGGGTAATGTGAAGAAGAAAATTGGAAAGATGAAGGACATCTTGTTATTTGTGGGAGGACGGTGGCCAAAGATGATTCAATAGTAAAGTTATTCAATAGTAAGGCCAAGAATATCTATTTAGGCACAAGAATAATCATTTTCAGGAAATTATAGAGAGATATTCAGTTTTAATAACCACATTGATAACTGCGTGAGAATGGTGACATTTCACATTCAACTTTATTTTAGAGTAACTACAATCTCTATTTTGTTTTCAAAGGGAGAAAACAAAAGTGAAAAAGAATCTCTAAGGACCAGAAGGACACCAGTCACAGGTGAAAAGTCACACACCAAAGGTCAGAATGCTACCTGTAGGGGGGAAATGTAAAGTATGTCTTTGTCTAAAATGTATCATTTAATAAAATATTTGTCCTTGGCCAAGCAAACTATCTTAAGTTATAGATAGTTTGAAGAACTGAATTATATGTGAAAATATTATATTTTCATTCAGTCCTTTATTCATACATTTAGTACATTCACTAGATACTGTGTCTTATGGAGAGGTATATACATGCATGAGCATGTGTGTGTATGTGTGTGTATGTGTGTGTGTGTGTGTGTGTGTGTGTGTGTGTGTGTGTGTGTTAGATAGATAAAGATTTAGATACAGATATAGAGTTTCATTTTCATATGTTTGTTCAAGTGCACTTGACTGTGCAGGTGTATCTGAAGGCCAGAGGTTGCCATCAGGTGTCTTCCTCAGTTGCTCTCCATCTTATTTTTTTGAGACAGGGTCCCTTGCTGAACCTGTAACCTGCCACTTTTAATTATACTGGCTGGACAGCAAGCCCTAGGGATGCATCTATATCTGTCCCCAAATTCTGGGATTGCAGACTTAAGCATCTAGCCTTTATATAGGTGCTGGGGATCAGAACTCAGGTCCTCAAGCTTTCAAAGCCAGCACTTGACCCACCCAGTCATATTCCCAGCTCCTCATCAGATAATTTTATTACCTACCATGTGCTAGGTACCATTCCATGGCCTTGAGGTACAGGAATGGAGATATATAACAATAACCAAATCTTTGTTCATGAAGAAGTTATGCTACAGAAAAAAAATCATACAGATCATGAGAAGCACATCATAAACAGTGGAATTTCAGGCAGTGATGAGTTATTAAGAAAACCGAGCAGATATGGAAGCACATGGTTCAAGCTTCATTGCCCCTCTCCTCTGTACTCTCTCAACTGGAAAGCTTGTATGTCTAAGGCTGCACACTCACTTCTACATGGATAACTCCAAAACTATCAGGGCAATCACTTTGTCAAACTCTATCCAGTATTTTCCAACTAGGACTTAATGTATATATAGATAGATATAGAAATAGATGTAGATATATACGTGTTTTGCAAAAATATTATGATTAAAGTAATTTACCTTCTTCATCATCTTAATCTTCTTCTTCTTCAAATAAGCTCCCTCTCTTCACTGTCTTTGCTACTATCATTTTTATAAAATCTACCCCAAGCTCAAAACCTCACTCTTGTTTTATTTCTCTACCATGAGTTCCATAAGGTGTGTACCTCATCTGCCTTAGTAATATATCACAAACTTTCTGGCTTCTTTACACTCTCAATAACAGCTTCCTGAGCCAGGCCTTTATAGTTAAGTCACACCTACACTGCACTTAGGTCGTAAGTGGTATCTTCTATTTAGGAGTCTGTTTCACTCAATTTCTCTCCTTTTCCCTCAAGCACAAATACTATGAGCATATTGCTTTCCTGTACCTACCACTTTGACCCCACACCTCAGCTCAAGAGCTGTGAGTGCCTTGATACTGCCTTCAGGACAAACATAAATACCTTCACTTGGCTTTACAGCACCCAGTGCATTCTATTCTTAGCCCCCTTGCCAGCACATCTCTCCTGCTTCTCCTTTATGAAAGCTACATTCTAACCAAGAAAAAGCAGAGGAAGGGAATCATCAGAGCAGAAGATAGCACTGCTTAATATAACAGCACAAAATTATTGACATAAAAGCAGAAAAAAGTTTTTTTAATCTATCAGTCATTATAATGATCTGTATTAAATCAAACATTTGAAGTGAGATACATTCAGTTTATATTAGCCTAAGATTCCTATCTCTAAGAAGGAAAAAATAAGAAATGCATGAAAATCACAGTCAGGTCTGCAATTAAAGAAAAGGTTTGCAGCTAGGGGCACAGCTGAGTGGTACAGCACTTGCCTAACATGTGAAATACCCTGGATTCAATCCTTAGCCATGAGGCAGAAAAGTTAATGTAAATAAAGAAAAAAGAGTTGTAAGTGAATAAACTCCTATCAATGAATACTGCTGCATTCAGAAGCATCCCTCTGAAAACATGCCTCCATTCTCATTGGGAATGGACTCTTCCTCATAAGAATCTGATAGAACTTATGTGGAAAAAGTAACTGACCTTAGCAGATAGATATGCAGCAGACAAGAATAATCTAAAGGAAATAAGATGTTCCCAGTCAACAGAACAACATTATACATATACTGGATTTTTGCTGCATCAGTCTTATATTTTTATGTTTTTACATTCTTCTCTCCATTTACTTTCATCACATATTTTTTTTTCAAAAACAAGGAGGAAATCTCTCTAGGCTCCTGAACATATTTATTTACTTACTTATTTTTCAAGAACATCCTTTGGTTTTTACTGCTCAACTCAGAATATAAAAAATGCTTTGTGTTTTTAAGCAAGTAAGGTGTTTCCATCACTGACTTCCTTTTGGGTTTCATTCTAGCCAAGAAAATAGGAATAATAGCATTGCTTACCTGTAGGCAAACCAGTGAAATGTTCCATTAGAAGTTACACCGCTCAGATGCCATATACAGTCAATTCACTTAGTCTATCTGATTTAAATGTTTAGATGATGTATTGACAAAAGAAAAAGGCTTTATTTTGGATAAAAACTCACATATAAAACTGTCATCAAGAGTAAGAGTCACATTCCAGGAGATAGATATACTTAAAACAGAGGAGACTTGGTTTTACTATTTTAAAAGTGTGTGTGTGTGTGTGTGTGTGTGTGTGTGTGTGTGTGTGTGTGTGTGTGTGTGTACAGGCACATACATACCACTGTGACCATGTGGAAGTCAGAAGGTAACTTTCAGTAGTCAAGTCTCTACTTCCACCTTGGATTCTGGGATCAAACTCAAAGTCTTCTGCTTGTGCAGAAGCTATTTTTACTGCTGGTCCATTTCACAAGTCCACACCTGCTTTTCTCTTTATTTTCTACATGCATGTAATGAAATACATTCATATCAACCCCACCCCTCCCAACTCCCTCATATTCTTCCAACATGTCCACCTCCCAACTTCAAGTCTTTTTTTTCCAACATAATATTTTTATTGATTATTTGGGAGTTTCCTATAATGCACCCCAATCATGTTAACTTCCCAGTCTCCCTAAATCCAACCCCTCCAACACTTGTGACCTCCCAACTGAAAAAAAAAGAAAATAAAAAATATGACTTTCAATTTGTATTGTCCATACACTCACTGGAGCACAGCCAATCTCCCAGTAGCCATCCCCTTAGAGAAAACTTAGTCCTTCCCCACCCCTACCGCTGCCAGAATCCATCAGCTGTGAAGAGCTGTATTTCAGAATTCCAATCACAATGTTTAAGAGTTTCCTTCAGTGGCTTCCTGTCTAGACTGTTTGTTTCTTTCTTTTGTTTTTTAGTGTGTGTGGGGGGCGGTTGGAGGAGAGAGAGAGACTATCACAGAGCCCTTCTGTATCTCTCAACCTCAATTGTGAGTCTGCAGTCATCAATACCACTGCAAAAGAAGCTCCCTTGCCCTTTACAGTCAGCGGCAGCACAGATCATAGACTTCCACATGGTTTCTGGTTCATGGTCAGCATGGACCATGGACCTCAGCACAGTCTCTGGTGGCAGCACAGACAATGAACATCAATATGGACTCCAGTGGGAGCACAGACTATGGACATCCATATGGACCATGGACATCAACATAGCCCTTAGCTATCCACAGGAGTCAAAGGAAGCCAGGAAAACAAATGCTACACTATAGAATTATCAAGATAATTCAAACTATGCCTTTTTATGAGTTGTTTGAGACTATAGATGGTTTTAAACTAGAGCTGTTCTCTCTCTCTCTCTCTCTCTCTCTCTCTCTCTCTCACACACACACACACACACACACACACACACACACACACACA